TCCACGCCTCCTTTGAGGACTCCAGCACACAGCATGTTGTCGGTCACCGGGTCTGTCAGGAGACTCTTGCACACTGTGCTGTTGATGATCCGGACTACTGCCTTCTGCAGTACGGACGCCCCGGAACCTGATAGACAACAAAATGACTTCTAACAGCGCTCTGGTTCTTTGTCATGATCTGACTTTCAGATGATGAAAGTTTGTTGTTTATTTTTTTGTTTTTGTTGCTTTTTTTTTTTTTTTTTTTAGATCAGTCACCTCTTTTATTCATCTTATCCAGTTACCCAAAAACATTATAACGGTTTTTAAGGTACAAAAATACTCTTATACCTGTAAAATGCAAAGTGGTGTATAAACACAGGGCAACTTGAGAAGCTCCCAGCAGTCCTATTGCAGTGAGGGAGAGTTTAGGCTCTCTCTCTAACTTTAAGTTTTGTCTAAAGGGAAAGTTTTAAGCCTAATCTTAAAAGCAGAGAGTGTGTCTGCAAACTGAAAGGTCCGTGGAAGAGGGCCTGAAAAATGAAGGCTGTGCATCTCATCTTACATGTAAATATCGCACATTTGAACCAGCAGTCTGAGAGTGAAGTGCTGTAGTAGGGTGAATTTTATGTTGAGGAACATTGTTATCTTTACTATTAGGTCTTTCAGAACAATGCTTAGTGTTGAATCCACTGGCTGGCTGGGCAGACACATCTGTGGGATCAGTTAAGTTTGTTTGTGGGAACGTTTCATTGCAGACGCATTTAAAAACTTCCACAACACTTCCAGTGTGGGATATTCGGACGTTTCAGACAAGCTGTGTTCTCGCCATTCTCATCATCTCACCTCCCTCCCTGGTAGCTCCCCAGCCAGTGATCCAAGCCTCTTCTCCTACTGGGAAGTCATGCGCGGGGGAGGGCAGGCAGATGGGCCAGATGTTCTGGTTGAGCGTGACGCTGTTGTCCAGTTCCATGAGAGTGATATCATTATCGTAGGTCTCAGGGTCGTAGCCCGGGTGAACGATGATCCGCTTCACGCCCCGCTTCATGGTCCACTTGCTGGTCTGACTCTGCTCGTGAAGACCCAGAAGAGCCTCCCATTGGTTAGCCTGAGAGAATCTACATG